GATTTTATAACGTTATAGTTTTTGTCCAAATAAATTTTGAATATTTTTTAAAATAACTTTTAAGGTTGATTTTGATAAAAACACATGATTTAGTTAATAGGAGCTTCTTGGATAACATCATAAATATATAGCTTAGTAATTAGACCTTTTTACATCACCACAACAGAGTTGCCCTTCTTGGGCCCTACAAAAGAAGTAATGTGAAACTTCTTATTCCATTGTTCATAGATCCATTTCTGCAAAGAAACAAACTCGAATACCTAAGATTAATCACATTAAATTATACTTACAAAAATAGCAATACATACACAACAAACTCCACCTTGGGTAAAAATGTTGGTGATAACTTGTAAACTTGATCAATTTAATGAGTTCCATCATCCATGATAATTTTCCATAGATTAGAACAACATCATACACAAATTTTTCATAGATTAGAACAACATGATACATAACTAATACTAAGTTTATACGAAAAATCCTCTCTCAATATGATATGATACTCTTCTATCAACAACGTTGTAATGAAACCTACAATGCCAAACCGTTTCAAAATCATAAGTAAATCAAATCCAGATTTCATTAATTTGATTACTGGATTGAATGATTAAAGTGTTTTACTTTTATCTTTATTTCATTGGCTCTCTGGCATTGCAAACTGAAAACATGTGAGAAGGAGGACGCATCATCTCTTCGAGAAGCATATCGACATTTACATCAACTTTGACTCTATCGTACTTTTGTCCAACCTATGAATCAAATTTAGGTTTCAAATTACGATGAATCCATTAGAAACTAGAAATTTGAGTGAGTACCTTTTGGAGTCATCGATAAAGAAATCATCAAACACTGATATTAGATTGTAACAGGAAGGTTCTTGATTGATCAGTCTTTTCACGTTTTTTTAATGACTCTTTTGAGTCAACCGTTGAAGATGTTGAAATTACACCAAATTTATGGAGAGTTCTGAATCAATCTTGATGAACAAGATTCATTCGACCAATCAAATTCTCTCTTATTCTTCACTCTTCACTCGAGTGAATCAACCAACCTTGGTTGCAAGATGACTTTATGCAACAATCAATAATGAAAGAAGAAAGGAAAGATGAATTGGGAAAGAAAGGAAGTTAGGGTTTCAACAAAATAAGGGAAGAAGAAAAGATTTTCTGTAGAGCTTTTCTCTGCTTTTCAATTGAGAATTTTATTCAATCATTCAACTGCATTATTCTTCTCGCATTACAACAATAAAGGTTACTCCATATTTTTAATTTTGAGTTTGCTTTCTATAAGCAAAGTCCAAAATACCTAATTCTTCTAACAATACAAAATTAGGCTTAAGTCAAAATTCATGTCGATGCTAACTCCTTCGACACTTCGACAACAACACAACTCTGACACGCATTAGGATATTTCGTCACCACCTTGTTTTTTTCGAACACCCTACTTCGATACATGGAATTTCATTCTCAATACACCATTTAATTCATTTTATCTAAGCTATCTAAATTAATCATAGATCTTAATTTCTTGAACACTTCGACCTACAATCCTTTCGTCATGATGTCTGCAATCTGATTCTCAGTTCTACAGAGTTCCAAGTTTAGATTCACATCTGCTACATACTCTCGAAGGTAATAGAACCTCATTTCAACGGGCTTTCTTCATCCATGTGCTATTGGATTCTTCTCCCGATTGATAGCTGACATGTTGTCGATCTTTATGGTAATTGCTCCATGATTTTTTCTTGTAATTTCTTTGACTAATTTCACCATCCATGTTGCTTGACATGCACAAAGAAAATTAACTATGTATTTTGCTTCACTCGATGATAGTACCATTACTGGTTCTTTTCTCGAAATCCAAGCAATTGGTGCACCACCTAGCATAAACATATAACCAACTATGAATTTTCTATCCTTAGAACCACTACACTAACTCTCAAGTTGGTGTAATCCACTAACTTGAATTCTTTTCCTTCATCAATTATAGTTAACAAAATATCATAGTTGAGATTTCCTTAGAGATGCCTTAGTATCTTCTTCGTCACTGTTAGATGTGATACCTTTGCCTTCTGCATGAATCTACTCACAATACCTACCAAATGATCAACTAACAAAGAAACCCTAAACAAAATGATCAAGAGACTATTTCAGTGAAAAACTAACGTTGGAATATATAAACTAACGATTCAGTGAAGAACAAACATGTTGTGAAAATGATGTTTGGTGAATGAATATCTGTTGGAAGAGTTTTGGTGAATATCGCCTAAGGTTTTTTGCAAAATGAGAGTGACGAACTGACGTTTGAGTGTTGATAGGTAAATGAAAGGTTAAAACTAGATAGTTTTTTGAAGTATTTCATGCAAAATAAGTGGCATGTCAGTTTTACACAAAAACTTACATGGTTGTTTTATTAAAAATATAAAATATAAAAAAAAGCTTCATAGCGTCATATTTTGAGAATTCATTTAAAAGATATATCACATCGATTATTGAATAAAATCGAGAGGTTAAAGTATATCAAATAAAGTATTAAAATAAGATTTTGAAATTATTATTATAAAATTGTTAATGTAAAATATATTACCTCTCAGTTGGATCTTGTGGCCGAGGTAAATACTAATGGAACAAATAAAAATAGAAATTATAAAGGCGCCAAGTGAGAAATACCTATTAAACAATTGAAAAAACATAAAATGCAACAAACGGGTGTCGAAGTGAGCTCCCTTGTGTGACCTCTCTTGTTGCTACCATACACTGACTTTATTAAATATCTGAGGTCTAATGTTTTTTATTAAAAATAATAATAATAAAACATGGCGTTCTCATAACCTATATCCTTGTTTTTTCATTGTTTGAGGTGTAAACTTTGTCATAAAAAATGTTATTTGTAATAGTAAGACTTGGATTTCTACCAAAAGAAATTATGTTGAATAGAGAGAAGTTAGGTCATGGAAAATTGCAAGATTCAAAAGGCGCCAATGTTTTGCTCTGGAACTAAATGTTGACTGGAAAGAATGGATCCATAGTTTGTTACGGTGGTTCAAAGTTTCTAATGTGGTGGAGAGGAGATTGACCTACAAGATAAGCACTTCAATGCTTAAGTCATTAAAAGAGTGAAAAGTGAAATTTGAATGGAAAGAATTTAAATACGTAAAGAGTGGTGTGTTCTCCTCTTTAGGAGAGATGGTTTATAACTGCATGCATATGGAACGATGTAGGACATGGTCAATTATTAAATTGATCACATGATATTCTCGTGATGAATACTCTGCAACGTGGGGAAAAAAAGACTGCTTATCCTTTATGTGATTGCTTCTTACTTTTCAACTGGGTCTCCACTTTATGGGCTTTGCAACCTCTTCTTTTCTTTTCAGGAAGAAGGATTCTTATATGTACACTAAGAAGAAGATTCATTGACTTCCTATGTCTGAGGGGCTTGAGATTCAGAAGTTTAAACTTTGACAAAATCTTACTTGCTAAACAAATCTAAAGACTTTTTTTATCAATTATAATCTTTGGTTGACCGTTGTCTCAAAGCGAGAAATTATCCTATTAGAGATATTAGATCGACTTATACTTGAAAAGTCATTCAAAAAGCTGATATGGATCTTTCGTAAGGACTTTGTTGGAAGGTGGGTGGTAACACCATCAATATTTAGTTTTATATTTGGTTGCCATTTTAAAATGGGTTTAAAATCCTAAGACAGCACACTATGAATCCCAACTTGTTTGGCATTAGAGCTATTTGAAAGGGAAACTAGAAGTTGAGACAACACTTTGGATCAAACTTTTATAACTTTTGAAGCAGACCAAGTCAAACAAATTAGGCTTATGGATGGTGATATTAAGGATCAACTTATGTGGATGAGTAATAAAGACGGTTCTTAATTAACAAGATACTAAAATATAGGATCAACATATAGTGTTAGATCGAGATATAAAATATAGAAATTGGGACCTTTCGACGAATTCTAATACTTCCAATTAACAAGAGAACACAATAGTATGGAAAAATCTATGGAAACTAAATTTTCCTCCTAAACACAAGAATTGTGAGACAAGCACTCATCAAGTGTGGTATTAATTGTCCAATGTTCTACCATGTTTGCCTAACTAATAATGAATAATGAGCAAGACTTACTTGGTCACAACCACAAATCCAATTCATTTAGACACACGCTCATAAATAGAATAAATAAGAAACAGAAAATATAAAATTTAATTATTAATTTTGAAATAATTAAATAATACGTACTTTTGTGAGAGTGCCCAAATGATTTTGAGTTGTATTTGTGCCTATATAAGAATCACTCAATGAATAATAGACCATATTTTCATGAAGTGTGCTAAAACTAAGGATATATGGTTTTGTTTTAATTTAGGACTTAATTTTAATGACATTCCTCGCCTAAATATGCAAGATTGGTTTCATTATGTCATTGACAACAGAGACAAGAACACCATGAGCCAAAATGCTTATATCCTATACAGTATTTGGTACAGCAGAAACCTTAAAGTTTTTGAGAACAAGGATATACATACTAGAGTTAACTAAGAAGGCGTGGCAAAGTATGATAGGCTATGAACCTTGTTAAGAGATGAAGATTGACACATATTAAAGTCACGATGAACCTCGCTAAGAGATGGAGATTGACACATATGGTGGTCGAGTCAGACTGCATGAATGTAACAGAGTCTCCGTCAATGGAATAATGATCAAAAGGGCTATGGTTTCGTTTGAGGATGTCTTTTTCAATCATCTGGGTAGGACGAATAATCATAACGAGAATTGATTGATAGAACTACTAGCATAATTTTCTTTAAGCACACAAACAAAATGATAAAATTGCTATACACAAGTTGAATATAGATGAACACATAAAAAAAAAACTATACAACAGTCTGCTGGCACAATTAGTCTTTCAAAATGATGTTATATGATAGGGCAGCAGACAATCCATAATTCTTTTGTCAGTCAAATTCTGATGGTAAAGGAGATCAGCATACTGTAGGCCCATTGCACAAATGGGAAAGATAAAAGTTTTCTGGCCATTTTCCCTGAAAACAACAAGAACCTAGAATGAGAGGACCAATCTTGATATTAACTTTTAAGTAATTAAAAAGTCATTCAACTTGCCCTACCTTAACATGAGCACTGGGAAACTTAGGTGTAACTAGAGTTTCCTGAGTTTCATAACCGAGCAACTTGCTGGGGATACTTAATATAACTGCAGATTGAGCCAATGAAGCCGCAGTTGCTGTAATCATATAACCCTCATCCAAACGTTTTTGGATTACTTCACTCGGATAGAGGAAATCAAGTTCCACCACCTGTATTAAAAAGGTCAGTGATGAATGACAAAAAGAGAAGTCACAGTAGCAGAAAATAGAATACACAAACGAAAAACCTGATCACTGAATCCAGCATTGCGAGACATAACAATACACCAGCGTATTCCAGCAGTTCCAATCGAGGTGACGTGAAAACCTTCTTTCCACTTCTTGTTTATCCATACGTAGGGGAAAGATCTGCTTACTTTGTACGATTGTTGAGTATACCTCGTACCTGCAGAAATTACATCAAAATCAGAGCAAACAACTTTGAATCATTACACATAAAAAGGCTTTCAGAAACTCAGATAAAAAATCAAAAAGACCAAGGATTATTAGAAACAAATTCAATTCACCACTTCAAAAAGTAACATGGTTAGTATAGTAATGAAACCTTTTGACATCACCACAACAGAGGTTCGATTCTTGGACCCTGCAGCAAGAGAAGTAATGTAGAAGTTCTTACTCCATTGTTCCATAATCCATTCCTGCAAAGAAACAAAGCCAGATAAGATTAATCACATTAAGTTATGCTTATAAAAAAAAAGCAATAGATACAAATAAAATTCCACCTTGGGTAAAAATGATGGTGATAACTTGCAAACTTGATCAGTATAATTAGTTTCATCATCCATGATAAGTGCCCATAGATTGGAACAACATGATACACAAGTGATACGAAACTTATCTGAAATCCCTTTCTCAACATGTTGTAATAATCTTCCATCACTCAAATTGTAATGATATCTGCAATTCAAAAATCACAAGTAAATGTAAAAAACAAAATCACACTCATAGTGTTCATGATTAAAGTGTTTTAGGGTTTTAAAAAACAGTCTGCGACCACGAAAACAGCCGCAGCACCGAAATCACGACTATTTTACCTTTGTTTCATAGGTTTTCTAGCATTGTAAACTGAAAACCATTGAGAAGGAGGACGAGCATTCTCTTTGGGATCCATATCGACATTTGCATCAGCTTTAACTCTACCGCGCTTTTCTCCAACCTATCAATCAAATTTGGGTTTCAGATTATGATGAATCCATTGGGAAACTAGAAATTTGAGTGAGTACCTTCTTGGATTCATCAATGACGAATTCATCAAACAGTGATATTAGGTTCGAACAGGAAGGTTCTTGATCGATCATAGTCTTTTCACGTTTTCTGGGTGATTCTTTCGATTCCGCCATTGGAACACTAAAGTATCGAAAATTAGTTGTGTTTTATTTTATTAGCTCTGATGTCTCAAATATATACATAATATTTTGATTAAATATTTGAACAGGTGTATTAATAACAAAATATTTAACTTATTACTTGCTAATTGTTTGTATTAGCTAAACACTCTTAGATTAGGATTTTAGTGATGAACTTATTTTGAAACTGTTGGGATATATGTTTAATTTGTCAGTGTATGAATAATTGAATTTATATTTTTATTTAATTGTCACTTGTGTTTGATGTTTTTTATTTGAGATACTCTGTTAATTTGATTACAGGCGCACATGAAAGATTGATCTCAGTCTATGTGTTGGGACTAAGGCAATTATTGTACTTACGCTCATTGAATAGGGACTAGGGCTAACTGAATGGAGATTTTGGTGAAGGAGGGTGAGAAATTTGGAAAACGAATATACAAATTCAGAGTTCATATGGGATTTGAACAGAGCTTGTTTGGCTCTCGAAAGCTTGGTAAATGGATGAAACACCATCCTCTGTTTATAGTTGAGTAAATGGAATGCTCAAGCGTGTGATATGATGAGATTTTGAGAGAATTCGTGTGAAATTGCTAGTATGAGAAGTATGACTCGTATTTGCTCAAAACTCAGCCAAAACTTGTGTTTCAAGGTGTTAATTGCTTTTGGAAGATTGTTAAGCATGATTAGAAGCAAAAACGCGAAACAATTTTGTAATTAGAGGCCACATTAACCAATTTACAATCTGATTGCTTTGACAAAATTAGTTTCAAGGTGTCATCTTCAAATTCATGGCGCTCACAATGTATGAGGCTTTATGGGATGATTCTTGAAGCTTTTGAAAGATCACATCATCATCTTCACAATGTGCCAAGAAAGACTCTTGTTGTACCCCAAAATTTTCTCTCTCATTTTCTTCAAGGCATTCTTCTAAGATTCTCAAATACTCAAGGATTCTCAAGAGTTGATCAGACAAACTCACCTCCTAAGCAATGGGTCCACAACTAGGGTTTCATCTTGTACAAGGGAGAATGGGTTGCAAGCGTCTCAAATGACTTTCATGGTTCATCATAGATCCTCAATAATGCTTATGTCAAGTTTCAAGTCTTGCGTCACAAGTTTGCTCAGTCAATTGCTCAGATAACTGAAAATCAACTATATTGAACAAAAAGTCAACTATGGTCAACATACAATCAAACTTCAATATTTTTTGTCAACATACACATTTTGAGGTGATATTCATTATTTTATCAAGGGTTGACCATGATTCCTCAAGGAAATCCCTCAAATCATCAAAGGTAAAAAATTGCCAAAATTAGGATTTTGACTGAAAATGACTGATCACTGACTGTTGGCCTAGTACATGACCTAATGGCTTGAAGCATGATCTCAAGGGCTCAAATACAATATTTTGACCTAATTAAATGTCTCAAGACATTTCCAAGTATGCAAGTGATTGATAGTTGAAAATTTGAATCAATTGATGAAAAGTCAACAGTCACTCAAAAGTCAAACTTTGACTTTTTGGTTAACATTGGAATTCAAAAATCAAGAATCATCAAAACATTCAAAACTATCAAAATTGATCATCAAGAATAAAAAAAGTCAACAAAAGTCAAAATTGAAGATTTTTAAACACTTAGAAAAAATTCAAGTGTTTTGTACCTAAAAAACCCTAACTTCACAAGTAAGTTTCCTCAAGATACAAGTTGGTCCAAGGAAAACTTTCAACATGAAAGTTGTAGGTATTGATGAATTCTACAACTTTGTTAATGAGGGATGATCCTCAAAAAGTGCTTAATCTAAGAGATATAAGCCCATGAAGTTATGATGTTTTTTATCCAACTCTTAGAAAAAATTTCAACAAGTTTTGATCAGTTTTTCATCCCAACTTCTTGGCCAATTTCCACCAAGTTCCCATTTGATTTAGAAAAAGTGGTCAATATGAAAGTTGTAGACAATGTTTCAAGCTTTCCAAAATGTCCAAGATGAATTTGGGTATCTAAGGTTGCATTATAGGTCATTTTTGTGACAAGTTCATAGCCAAATCTTCAAGTCATGCTGCATAATCTCACTTTGCAGGCCTCTAACCTCCAAACCAATCCATAATCAGAATATTACACAAGCTTTTGAGCTATGGTCCATTTTATTCAAGCATTATCAAATGCATCATTCCATTTTTAGGAAAAAGATCACACTTCCATTCTTGTAAAGTGACTTTATACACAATGTCAACTCTCATTGAGCCCATACATTGTTGCTTCTGACTTCAAAACATCTCAGCACCAAGAATCAACCATCTACAACTTATCAACCACCCTACATTGCCTTGGAACCATGACTTTGAAAGTTACTTCAAAACCAAGCTTCAAAACCATAACTTGTTATCTCAAGATTCTGGTTACTTTAAGATGTCAAACCTATTGCCTATAAATAGAGAGGCCATTTGCAAGCCAAGAAACGGACGAACAAGCCCTCAAACACTCTCAAACTCATAATCACTTAGAAAACTCCATTGTTGCACATTTGAAGCTTCCAACAGTCAACTCTAAATCCACTCGTGCGTTTTCCTCTTTTATCATTCAAATAATTTTATCCATCTGTAACATGGTGGGAGAACTGACTTGGGGTGTTTTGCATTTGATCACAAATGTTGCGGATAGCAAGAGTCACCACCGACTTTTCTTTTATCCAATGAAGGAAAAGGTGAAAAGAACATGAAAGACCTTTGAGATTTGTTGTACCCCAAAATTTGCCCTCCCATTTCCTCAACATTTTCTCATCACAAGACCTTTGAAGATCAAGATACAATTAGGGTTTCCTCTGCTCAAGACTTCTCCTTGCACTGTGGACTCAAATTAGGGTTGGTGTTTGCCCAAGGATGTTTTGACCTAAAATGCCTAAAATGACTTTCATGCTTCATGTTGGACTCCCAAGTTTACCCATGCCAAGTTTCAAGTCTTGATTCCAAGTTTTACCCAGTCAATTGGACAGTTGACCTAGAAATCAGCTGTATTGGGGAAAAAGTCAACTGTGGCCAATTGACAGTCAAACCTCATGAAATTTGATCCACATCAACATTATGAACTCACATGGACCATTTGATCAAGTTTGGATCACAATTCCACAAGAAATTTGATCAGATCATCAAAAGGGCAAAATGGTCATTTTTAGGGTTTTGACTACACAAAGGCAATTTTTGACTGTTTGACCCAGCCAATGGCAAACCAAGCTCACATATGGACTCAAGGACCCCATGGAATTATCTTGACATGTCCATCAAGCTCAAAAGATCCCAAGTACACAAGATTGACAGTTGAATTTCCCAGTCAATTGATCAATTTTGACTGTATACTGAAAAGTCAAACTTTGACTTTTTGGTCAAAATCAAGAGTCAAGATTCATTTTTCATCAAAACATTCCAAATCATGAAACTTGTTCACCAAGAAATCACAAAATGCAAATTAGGGTTAGAAAATGGAATTTTTCATAACTTAGAATTTTTCTAAGTTATGGAAAACCCTAATTTTTTCCCAACTTTGCCCCATCTTTTCACCATGATCCATTGGGATTCAAACAAAAGTCAAAACATGAAAGTTGTAGCTTGTTGCATAGTCTACAACTTTGATTCACAAAGTTTTCTCATTTGAAGCTTGTATCTCAAGTTATAATTTTTTGAATAAGGGCACTAAACCATCTTTTAACTTAGTGAAATTTGACCTATTTTGACAAGGTTTTCTACCCTACTTCAAGGCCACTTTTCATACCCTTCCACTTGGAATTTTAATTTGCATTTCAAAGATGGATTGTAGTACACATTCCAAGATTTCCAAAATGTCCAAGAACTCATCAAACAACCTCATAACTTGAGAGATTCGAATTTCACAAGTTGGCAAAAATTCACTTTTGTTCTTCATCAAAGCATGTTCATAAACTTGGCAAATTTGAACTCAGCATAGTTTGTGCTACTTTACAGGTCCTAAAACCAAATTACACTCCTTAATTTAATGCAAAACCAATGAATCAAGTTGTTATTCTAAGCCTTTGGTCATTACACAAGGAATTAAGCCTAAACTAGAAAAAGCATTATTTCCATTCTTGAAAAGCTTGCTTTATGTCAATTAGAAATCCAAGCAAGTACAAGCAAGATCTTCTTGGCACAAGTTTGTGAGCAAATTGCACTGATCAAGGCAAGGGATAGCAGCATAGTTAGAGGGCCTGTACTGACCTAGAAAGCAAAGTGGCATTTTGTAGCTTAAGTGTGAAGAAAAGTCCATAACTTATGCTAACTCTCATCTCAGCTAAAGAACAGAAGAACAAAGTTATCAAACACTTTTCATAGACCAAATCCAAGCTAACCCACGAGCCTTTGCCATCTGAAGCACCCTCCATCTCAAAATCACCTCAAAACTGCACAAACAGGGGAGCCCCTGCAGTTTGAGTGCAAACTCCCAATCCCTTCAAGCATTTTGATTCAAACCTTTTCCTCTACCTTCCCTACAATATATGCAAGCTAACCATGTCCTAAAATCAGACCTGTAACACCTCCAAGCCACTTCACCATTTTCAATTTTCTGTTTTGCAGTTGGAGTTCACTAGCTCGATTCAGGGAGTTTCAAGACAAAGTAGGAATTGGAAAAGCATCCTTACACTTCAAGGAAGCTGTACAAGTCATCATTTCACTCTGAAACATCCTCCATTGCCAAGCTCGATTCCAACTGAACAGGTATATTCATGGAGTTTTATCTCTCTTATTAGGCATTGTTAGCTTTAGGTTTTTGAAGAAAACATGTCACAATCATAGCCCTGAACATGCTCATATGATTAGATTTCATTTATGTTTCGTGTGCTTAGAGAATTTCATGTCTGAACATTGATGAAAAGTTAGGTCAGAAAAGAGGGGGAGAGAAATTCTCCCTCATCTTAGAGAGATAGGTCAAGTTATTTATATGGTTGAAATCGTCTCTTCATGCTGAACATTTCTTGTGTTATGA